TACTTAAAATTAAAATATTGACCAAAAAAATTAAAACAAAATGAAAAGTCAAGTTGTCACATGGTTTTCTGACTAGAGAAGAGCAATCATCCTCGTTCGTGATTTTCCATACTTCATTAGCCAATTAAACTTTGTTGACGTGTCCCATGGATCTCAATCTTAGGACTCTCTTCCCTTCGATTTTTTTTTTTTTTTGCCTTTGGGCCTTGGAGGCAAAGATTTTCCAGGCTCATTAAACAATTCAATGCAGAGACTGGTAAACATATGCAAACGTAAACTAATATTTTAATTTTTAAAGAGAGTTATCTCTAATTGAATCTAATAATTTAAATTTAAAATAATCCTTGAATCTGATCTAATCTAAAATCTAAAAAAAATAATTAAATGTTGCTGTGCTTGCTATATGATGTTGAAAGTTTATCGTATTGTTGTTGCCGCGTGATCACTATTACAACTGTAAAAGGTCCATTTTTTTCACAAAAAAAAAAAACGCGTTTTAAATTTTAGAGAGAATCATACTATAAGCCCAAAAATAATAAACAATTTCACTCTAGGCTCACTACATTTTAATATTACACTATAGGCCCAATAATTTTTGTTGCAATTTTTTTAAAAAATGAAAGTACAATCTTCAAACACATGTTGTGCAAGAAAAATTGTACTTTCTCTTTAAAAAAAAATTACAACCAAAGTTCTTGAACCTGCAGAAGAATAATAGAATATATTGAGTTTATAGTGTAATTTTTTAATCTTTTAAAGTCTGCAGTGCAATTGTCCCCTTTTTAAAGTGTTGCTGTATTGCCTTGTTGATGGTGATATCTCATCGTGAATTTCACTTTAGACGACGCTGTGGGGACAGCGAACATATCTTTTTTTTTTTTTTCTTTTACCTTTTATTTTTCTTTTTTTGACCCGAGAATAATGGAGATATTTTTTTAAAATAAAACGAAACATATATGACCTGCTTTTTTCTTGTTCGATTGACCAGCTGTAATTTTTTTCGTTTTTTACTGTTCACATACGCGAAACGTTAACTCATACAGGACAATTTTGTCATTTATTTTAAGGAAAATAAAATTAAGGAATTGAAAGATTTAATTAAATTTAAATGAAATAAAGACTAAATGTTTCCGAAATTTGAAATAAGGACCAATGCTTTTTTAATGAATTGGTCTAAAATTAAAGTTTGCTATTTTTGCCTAGGTTAAAAAGCAATTTTACCTTTAAATTATAAATCAAAGAGTGTATGGTATTTTGAACTTATTTTTTACATAATGTTCCCCTTCAATTTTTAAAAACATTGCAATATTACTCCTGATATTAACAAAAATTAAATTTAATCATTAGTTGATAAAAAAATATTACAAAAAAGGATGCAGAAATTATTTCTGTTCTTTTCTATATTTTTTAGATCATTTTTTATAATTTTTATCAACTAATAATAATCAAAATTAATATTTATTAGTGGTAGAGCCAATATTATATCATTTTTAAAAATTGAAGAAAAATATTGTATAAAAAATGAATTCAAGATTCCAAATGCTCTTAGATCTATATTTTAACCATTGTTATTTCATAACTTGCAACTATCAAAATAAGAATTTGCATGTGAAATTCACTAATGTGTGAAGGAGAAACTTGTCAAACATAGTGTCACCATATTTTCATTAATTTTCTTTTCTCATACCCTTATTTGCAAACCTCAAAATAAGAGTTTACAAATAAAATTCATTAAGTTGTGAAGGAAAATTTTGCTCAAGTAACTATGTATTTGATAAGTTTTTTATTCACCAATTAGCATTTTTGGTTTAAAAGTTGCAAGAATGAGAGTAGCAAATACTTAGATTAATTTATTATATTGAAGAAGCTTTAGTCTTTGTTTTAATTTTTCAAATCTTTATATTCTTGTTTATAAGTTTAATTCAATCTATTAGTTTAATATGTCATCCCCTTTGTTTTATTTGGCTGTCTTTGGAAGTCTTAATTTTTTTTATTTGAGTAAATAAATATAAATAATTTGTGAAACTTGTGTTGTTTTGTTTGTCTCATCTGCTTGCATAAGTTATGTCATTTTGAATCGAGAGGCAGAAAAAGAAAATCGGGAAATAATAGCAGACCTGCATTTTAAATGTATTTAGGTATGAGAAGATCTTGACTTAACTGACTATACATAATATATTTTTCGTGAAAACAATAACCGTTGCTTTCATGTATATTTTTTAATAAAATTATAAATTTTTTTTAAAAATTTTATGTTTTATCCAAAATATCCAAATAATTATTCGATGTTCACTGTGGATTTTTTTTAAAAAAAAATTGAAGACGCTAAATTTTGAGCAAGATAAACTTTTGTTACTGATTAGTTTCTTATTTTACTTGTGAAACACGCTTGTAACAAACTAACAATGACATTTTTAAAGTTCAATTTTTTCACAAACAAATTTCTTTAAATGTTGTGCTGTCTATATGTAGTATTTTTGAATTCTTTTTTATAAGAATAATAATTTTAAATTCTTAATTATATATATATATATATATATAACTTTTTTAACGTGGTAGTGAAATAATTAACTCATAATTTTGGCAAAAAAAATTATTAACTTATAATTAACTGTTGAATTTACATGTAAAATAAAAAAGTTTGGAAAAAGATAACTCTAAATTCCTGCACTTTACTCGCATTTTGCTATTAATCTCTACATTTTTTTGGTATTTTAAATCTCTACACTTTATTTATAAAGAAACCTAAAACACTAAAAAGTAAAAGTGTAGAAATTTAGAACACCAAAAAAAATATGCAGAGATCGGTAACAAAACATAAGCAAAGTGCAGAAACACAAAGTTATGCTTTTCCAAAAAAAGTTCAAAATGGATTTATCGTCGTTGGCAAGAACAGGGTTTGTTGTCAAATTCTAAGAAGACAACGATAATAAATTACCTAATATAATTTATTAAATTAAAAAGATATGTAATCTATCTAATTTTAAATTTTTAAATTTAAAACTTCAATTTATAAACAAAGAGGAAAAAATGATTCTTTGTGTGCCACAACTACCATTGATTTATGGTTTTTTCCTCACCTGAATACCATTGATTCATGGCTTTAACTCCATGCAATTTTCTCAATCCTTAAATTTGATTATCAATTGGGATAATGAAACTTTTATTCTTTTAAGTTTGTCTTAATTATCGATTTAATCTCTCAAATTTAATTTTTATTAATTTAATTGTTAAGTTTGTCTTAGTTATTGATTTGATTGTTTTTAAAAAATATAACATTATTAAAATTTATTGACATGGATTATGGAATATTATTGGTAGCTATGTAGATCAATGAAATTAAGTATGATTATTTATGTAGTAAAAAACATGCTAAGAAATTTTTAAAAGCAAAAGAATAAAATGCAGTATAATGGATTAGATTAATAAAAAATCAAACTGATTTGAAAGCTAAATTGTTCTCATTTAGCTACATATACATACTAAATTATCAATATATATACACACACTTTAGACATTAGATTAATTCATGCTTTAATTTGTGTTTTAAATTACTTAAAAGACAAACATGATAATTTATAAAAATATAAAGGATGAAATCGATAAAATTAAACTTAAAGGATTAAATTAATAATTGAGATGAACTTGACCGATCAAAAGTTTCATTATCCCTCTATCAATTCATGCAACTTTAATTTGTTCTTTCTCGTATAAAAATGAAACGGAGTTTCTCTTAATGATATTATATATGTGTGTGTATTCTGTTGTGCAATCAACCATAGTTTGGATATATTTGGATTCATCGCCCTTTAGTTAGTTAAGGTTAATTAGTTTGAGCTTGTTGCTGTTGGTTAATGATTTTGTATGAGCATGTTGCTCTTGGTTGTATGAATATAATATTGATTCTCTCTTTACTTTCTTAACATATTCTTTTACAACAATCATTTCACATCTGAATAATTAATGTAACATTTTATGTGGCTCCAATACTCTAAATTTATGGACAACTGAAACTTTATTTAACTCAATTCCATTAATATTTAGGACAAATCTCAGAGTAATACAGCAGTCAAATTTGTGTATTTTAAATTAGAATAGAACTCGAATAAATACACATATATACTCCCTTCGTTAAAAAATACAAGGCATTTTTAACTGAATCTCACCCCCTAATAAAGTAGTTATCTACTTTCAAACTAATCCTATCTTTTCATATTTACTCCTATTAAATACCCTATAATAAATATAAAATCATTCATAAATAGGGATACTTTTAAAAAAAAGATAATAATTACACCTCAAAAGACTAAAAATGTCTAACATTTTTAAACACCAAATTCCTTAAAAAATGCCTTATATTTTTAAGGGAAGGAATATATAATTAAGCAATTTAAAGTCACAAGTTAATATGGAGATGTGTGTAAAATTGATTACAATAAAAAAAATACTGTTTGGACTAAAATTAAAATGTTACTTACTAAAGGTCATAACTTAAAGTGGGCTAAGTAATTGAAGAGTCATACCCAATCAGTGATCTAAATAAAAGGACTAACCTAAATCTCAAGAGAATAACTCAGTCAAACTTGATATTAGTAAATCTTATTCGGGGACAACAGCACTTATCCAAATATTGATATTTTTATGTTTGTAGTTCTTAAATTCATTAGATAGCTTTTACGTGTAGCTTTATTTTCATTTTCAGTTCTGTCATCCTTTATGCTTTGCAATCCTTTAGTATTAATCAAATATTTGTTATGCCAACTCTTGTATATCTTTTATATCCAGATAAACTATAGTAAGGGAGCCAGGGGACACTTTGTTATTATTTGAGACTCAACGTTTCTTTTACGCCTAGTAATTTATTGGTCCCAATGAGCAAATGTTTGTGCAGATTTTTCTTTTGCACCGCGAATGCTGATATAGTTAACTGTATATCATGATGAGAGATCAAAACCCACAAATATTACAAGGGAAAGAAACAGAAAAGGAATATTGTAAAAAATAATCAATCAATATATATGCGCGCGCGCGCATATATATATATATATATATATATAACATTTACCAATATCAATCAGTCCGGTCCTGCCAGTGCCACACGGGCTCATTGTACTCTATATAATCCAAACTTTTACATACCATTTTACTGTATATTCTTTCTATATTCACTCAACTTTTTGTAAACCTATATAAGCTTAACTCCATGGTTGAGCTAGAGACGATTCATCCCTACTTCCAAGGACCAAAAGGAGGACGTAGATCCTAAGGTACTAATAGGATGGCTCTCTTTATCAACCCTAGACATAGATCAGCTGACTCATCATCATCTTCTTCACCTCTCTCAACTACATACCCTAGGGCTGAGGAAACGTTTTCAGGACTGATCTGTTTGACATCCAAGAAAATGGTGACGGTTGATGGAAGGAAAACGCAGTTTATCATTAGCAGGGTTGTTGGTGAGATCGAACACAAGCCCTCCTTTAAAATTAGAATTAGGATGATGATGATGAAGATTAGGGTTTAGGGTTGTGAAGTTACTTGAAGAGACGAAAGTGTTACTATAATTAGGTTGTGATGATGATGAAGAGTCAAGTAACATGAAGGAAGCTGCTGTTGAAGCAGTAGACGCCATGGCTGTTGCACCTACAGGCAGAGGATGATTATGTGTCCCTTCGTACGTTGTAATCAGGATCGACATGTCCTCTATGCATCTTTGTACCTGCAAATATAATGTAGCAGACACATATGTAATTAATGCGATTATATTGGAATAATTAATAAAATTAATTTTGAACAAATAATCCTAAACACAAGGCTTAACTATGTGTTAATATACTGTCTTCACTTTTAATCAATTAATTTTCGATCTGTGTTAGTCTTTGTTTTTTTTTTTCCTTAAATGCATCCATTAAAGACTACTATATATATTTATATATAAACATGAGATACTAACAAACTAATTAAAGATTTATTAAGACTATTCAAGAATTAATTATGTTAAAATAAATAAATAAATAAATGATTGTGATTGCTTTGGTAATAAATATAATTGCCATATTGATAAAAATAACCGGATCCAGGAGTAAATCAAAACAAAAAAAATTTATGATTGCCAAAAATATTAAAACCAGCTACGTTTAATTAGGAAAAAACTTATCAAATACAAATGCACTCCCTTTGTTTTTATTTATAGAAAAATTATTACTTTTATTTTTTTTATATATAAGCAAAATAAAATTTTTCAATTGACATTTATTACAGATTTCTTAAATTATCTCTCATAATTTCATCATTCATAATTATAAAAAACAATTAATGAAGGGTATTTTAGTTTATTTTTTTAATTTTCAACATAATTAATATAATTAATCAATTTTTTTAAACCGTGTAATGCGTTTTTTTCTCCTACACATATAAGCATATGTGTTAAAGCTTGAGAGATTCAATAATATGTTGGCAGAAAAATCAGAGAGATTCAATAATATGTTGTTGATTAATTTTAGAAAATCGAAATGTTATATTTTTATTATAAAATGATAACAAATAAATTTTATATCTTAATATAATTTTTATGAGAAATTAAAAATGTAAAATTATTTACCTGCTTCCTTACAGGGCATCCTGGAGCTACAGTGCATCGATAATAGGCACGGGGACATGGATTTCCTTTAGCAATTTTTTGCCCATATTTTCTCCATTGGCACCCATCATTCATCTACAAAAACAAATATAATGAAGCAAGAGATCAATTAATAAATTAATCATTTCGCAAAATAGTCATACAATTACTGATGTCAAATTAAGGACAGATTAATTACACACACACACACGATTAGTATATTTTAATTAAAAAAACTCACAGTGGCTGTGTCACATCTTGCTCTAACACAAACCCTAGCCTTTCTATTTGGAGTAGACGACGTCGCAGCATGAGGATGATGAGAATTCGAAGAAGAATCAGGCAAGTGATGATGATGATGAATCTGATTGATGATGAACTGGTTTTGTTGCAGTGACGACGAAGAAGAAGAAGCCATTATTAATTGTTCTTTGTCTGCATCTTGATGAGGTGCATCACTTGGAGTACTTGACGTTGTGTGTAACCTTAGTGATAATCCCAAATCATCATTCCACTAATACGATCCTTGATATTAGGGTTTGATGGAGTTTTTGTCGGTGCTGCTCCTGGTGGTGGTGGTGGTCCTTCTTCTTCACTTCTCATGGCAATATTATTATTATTCTTGTTGCCTTGAAGTGATGAGAGAGAGATTTGAGGATCCTGTATGTAGATGAGATCTATAATCATTAATCTTATACATAAATATATATATATATATATATATCATAATTCAAGGAAGAATATTCTGATTGAATAAACGATATATAATGAAATTAATCATGTAATACACTCTCCCAAACCTATTTACATATCACTTCTAACAAGTTTTATGAAAATTTTAAAATTTATTAACTTTACCTAAAAATTTAAGGTAAAATGTAACTTTTGGTTCTTGATTTTTTTTAAATTATCCATTTAATCACTATACTTTGATTTGTAGCAATTCAATTCTTATAGTTTATTGACCTTAAATAATTCAACCCTGTAGTTTCTTAAAATTTAGTCTTTATAATTTTTTTTTCATTGGTAATAGGTATTCTCCTATTGAAAATAATTCTATTCAATTTCTATAATTCTATAACTCAAAAATTATAAGAATTGAGATGTACATTGAATTAAAATTTAAGGACTAAATTGATAATTAAGAGAAAATTTAATAACTAAAAGTTGTATTATACCAAAAATTTGATAAGTTTTTAACTTTGCCGCCTCTAAATATGCATACTTTACTAATATTAATATGAATAAAAGTGAAAGAAAAAATTGTGATAATTAAAAAGTCAATGACACATCTTGTAAATGGGATAAAATAATTCTTCTTTCTCTATCTTATATACTAAATAGGATTAGAAGAAGTATTAATTAAGTAATTAATAATTACCTTGTTCTTGATATTGTTGTGCTGGATGAGTGAGAATTTGATTTGGAGATCATAGTAATTGTTCATGGCTTGCTCCACTACTCTCCTCAACGATTTGTTTTCCTCTTTCATACGATCCATCTCCATTTTTAACATTCTTAGCTCCTGCAAAATTATTTCATTGTATTCACCCTTTATAAAAGTGCACAATTAAACATGTACACTATAGCAATAATAAAAATAATAATTCATTCCTCCAAATTAACAAGAACTAACTTGATATGCAGCATGAGAAAATGATAAATCAATGGGAGAATAATCATCATTATCTATGGCTTGGTTTGTTGACATGGAGGAATTCAGAAAATGATTAATTTGCAACAAAGATTTCTGCGATTGCTATATATTGAGTGATTTCTATTTCTGTCGGTAATTCATGTTTTTACTGAAATTCTAGCTACACACACACACACACCAGCTGGTCTATCGTTAATTCACCGTTTTATTTTATTGTAGCGCGTGTTCATGAATAATAATGAAATTGTAAACATATCGTTAATCATACGAACTTATTTTTGTGAATATATTATAGATCTAAATCAAATCAATGAAAATTTGTACAAATTAAAGAGCTAAAATAATTTTGAGAGATAATAAAACTTTTAATCCTCAAATTTGCTTTAATTATTGATTTAGTCCCTGAGTTTTAATATTTATCAGTGAAGTTCTTAAAATTTCATAACTATATACAATCAATTTTTATGATTTGAAGAGAAAATAATGACAGAAGGAAATCATAATTCATAAGAACTGATTGTATATGGTTATGAAGCTCTAAATTAGTTTGATTAATAAAGATGAAATTTAGGGACCAAATCAATAGCAAAAATAAATTTAAGAGATAGAATTTTGTGATCCCTAATTTTGAAAGTATAATTGTACACGTACCTTAGTGGGAGCTAAGTTTTCATGAATAGAAATTTCTTCTTCTTCATCATCTTCTATTTCACCTTCTGTGATCTGTTCATCAGCAGCTTCTTCTTCCGTATCATCCTCCTCCTCCTTCTGATCATCATCAACGATATTAATTCTCTCTCTCCCCCCTTCTTCTTCAATCTCTTTTTGTTTAGCATTTAGATCAATAATTCCCATCTCTGCAACAGCAAGTTCTTCTGCTTTCTCTCTTCTCATTAATCTGTGTTCTAATCCTTGATCTGATCTCTCTCTCTCGATATAAATACTACTTTTGAGGCACCAAAGTCAATCTCAAATTAAAAAAAAAAGGACGTATATATTCTTGGTACACAAAATAAAGCTGGGAGACGCATCTAAACTTTGACTTTACTTCCCCATTCTTAATTAACCTCCTCTGAACTATATTTAATCAATTAACTAGTCTGTATATATATACGCACACGAAGTTTCAATCTTCAACAAATATTATTATATCTAGGGCATGCATGTGGGCACACATACTATATATCTCATTTCAATTCAAAATAATAGCCCCTAGGTTTATTAACTGATGATGATTTCCTGTTATAATATAACTAGATCACCTTTTGTGATCTTGCTGTCTAGTTAGTCTAACAAAAATGTTTTGATTATTGATTATTAAACTAGAGGCTAGTTAACCTATACATACATACATACATACATACATACATAATATATATATATATATATATATATAATAACCCTCTAAAATTTTCCTTGTTTGTATATAGCTTTGTGACTTTTAAAACTTATTTAAAAAACCCCTAAAATTTTTAGATTTATACAGATAACTCAACAATTAGGACATATTTCAGAAGTCATGTTTGGTTAAAAAATATAGGGCATTTGATAGTTTTTATAATTGTTTTTCTATTTATGTATATCTCTACTTTTTTTATTACTCTTTTTTTAAAATGATGCATTTAAATTATTAAAGCACTTATATAGAATATTTAATAAAGGCATAATTAAAAAGATGTAAAATTTTCAAAAAGATTAAAGTTTCAACTAACTCATTTTAGAACCGTAAAATAATTATAAATACCCTATATTATAATTCAAAGGGAGTACATGTATTTTTAATTTGCTTGTAATTTCACTAAAATAATATACCATAATAGAATTTAATTCAAGGGATTATATGCTTATATAATTTAAAGTTTGAAGGGGTTATTTGTAAAAAATATATATATAGTTTAAGTGTTCAGCAGGGCATATTTGATCAATAGCGCATATGATACTGTACTTATGAAATAACGGAATAATTAGTGTAACAGCCCTCCTGGGTCACCACTGCCTCTCCAGGGTCTTTTCCCAGGCGCTGGACACTTCCCTCTCACAAGGTAATGCCGGCTTTAGCCCAGGTGGTACTGAGCGTATTCCTCACCCCACCCTCACGGGGGTCTTTTGGAACCTCCCCAGACTCGAACCTCCAACCTCTACCACCTTAACGAAGTTGAGGCAAAGTCTGGTACCATTGAGTCACTTGAAAAAAAAATTTAAATTAGATTATGCCAACAATAAATTTTATTTGGTAAGATATTTACTTATATTTTGAAGATAAATATGGCAAGTTTTGTATAACTTTAACAAAATAGAGATTAGGGAATGCAATTTACTCCAAATACAAAGCAACTAGTCTCTAAAATAATTAAAAAGTGAATCACAAAAGTACTACTCCAACTGTTTGACATTATTATTATTATTAATTTATTTAATAATTTGCAAAAACGTATGCTATTTGATCCGTTAATTAAGCCGTCTTCGCGCTTATACAATAATGCCACTACTATTATTATAACATAATTTTTCATTTGATAATTAACATTAGGGTATGGACAACTTAGGAGCTTGCAATTAATCCTCATTAATCCTTGCAAGAGTGAACTTTTCATAGCACACGTGTAGCCTCTTGAAAATAATAAATAACTTAATTACATTTTTCCCAAAAAAGTTGTTATTCTAAACTTTTTTGTAGTTTTTGATAGCTACTTTTCTAAACATATCTTTAAGTGGTGGTTAGTAAAAGCAGTACTACAAGAGAGAGCTTGGCTGAGCTTTCTATTTTCATTTCCTTTTTTAATCATTTCTTGCTTATTTTTATGTATTTGTTTTTAACGTAAGGTAAATTTTCATAAGATTTGAAAAGGCTAAACAAACATAAATAACATTTATAATCACTTGTTCACTTACCCATATAATAGATAATATCATCAATATATCTATCAAAATTATAGAAAGCCGCATCTGCAAGTTGGATTTGGATTTCATTAATTGAACTAAGTACACTCACTCAAAGAGAATGTTAATTAGAGCTGTTAGATTTAATCAATACTTAAAAATTATTAAAATACAACATTTTTATGCAAAAATTCAAAACAATCCTCACAATTAAAATATTCCTTATATATATTGTCATATCAAAAAATTTGAAATTTGATAATTTTTGAATATTATATAATAATATCTCTGACAACTATTTGATTAAATTAAATGATTGTTAGCATGCCACGTAAGATGCTCATTGACTAAGTATTCATCAAATCTAAATAAGTAAAATCCAAATAGATTATGATAACGTAACTTATCTTTGTACTTTACATAAATTCGTGGAGTTTAATTTTTCAGTTAATTACAAAATGAAATATAAATATCTTCTTTAATATTTTGATCATAAAATTTACTTTTTTAAAGCATTTGACAAATATAATAGATATATTGATAAAAATATTTATCAAAATTTTGAACATTTACTCTTAACTTTTTTCTACACTTAATTTTATGAAACTTACACAAGCATGCATTCAAGCATACGTCTAGCTAGCTAGGAGAACTTTGTGTATGCACTTAATTATATTCAATAAAGGTGAATATTTGATATAATTAAAATCTTAACATATTGAATGAAACACGTACGCATATTCATATCGCATGCATGTGTTTATATGTGTGTGTGTGTGTGTGTAAGAATTTGTTTTGATCTGTTTATTTAACATTGACATTTTAACTTTACACGGCAGATCATGAGAGGCGTGTATCATTCGATCGATGATGATTATATGCTTGACATAATCAAACTCTCTCTCTCTCTCTCTCTCTCTCTATATATATATATATATATAAACCATGGAATATGAGCTTCACACAAAATCTCACATAACGACCTGGATAAATTATTAAATTTTATTATTCATGGGGATCAGATCTTGAATTTGTCAACTCCTATGTCCGTTCATTTATATTATTATTTTCTTATCATCCCGAGACTAATTATTAATTTAATCTTGTAGTACACTTTATCTGTCTTTTTAGGAAAAAAAATAATGCGCTTCATTGCTTAGTATAACTAAAATTTTCAGCAAGAATTTATTATATTTTTCTTAAATTTTTCATGACAAATAGATAGTATCATTAAATTAGTTATATGAGAAAAATATACATCAATTATAAGGACATTTTAATACAAAATTTTCAATTTCTGACATGATTTTTTGAATTAACTAACTTTTTTTAACTGTATTAATTTATTAAAATTTATTTATATTTAAAAACAGAGAAAGTTCGTACTATTGTCCTCCTCATTATTATAAGACATTTTTTTGCAAATTAGATGAGTGTATTTTTTTAAAAAAAAAAACTTGATTACACCTTAAAAACATTAAATGTCTCATATTTTTTAAGATTCGTGATACATTAAAAAAAGCGTTTTGCAAGAAAATAAAGCAAAATAATGAGATATTTTTATTTAATAGATTTCTTAATCTATAGTAAGTGCATATTTTGAAATCTATAGTAAAAAGGAGTGCAATAAACATTAGTTTAATTTTCAAAATTAATTATATTCTTTAAAATCGATCAATGAATAGATAAAGATATACTATATTTAGCGAATAAAATGATGACACCATTTTAAAATAAAATTAAAATATACTATTTATAGTTGAGTGAAAAAAATGATAGATAGACCAAGGTCCACACTAATGCTATAATTTAATTATTAATTAGAGTAGTAAAACGAGGTGAATTATTATTGAACTACCAAGGAAGAAAGGGAAACAGGACTACAGGAGATGGGATCCTTGGCTATCCATTGGATGTGCCCACGAGATTATATGTAAGATTACCGTGTGTAAAACTAAATCCTTGACAATTAACCATTTGCATTTTTTTAACCCTGGAAAATCAATCTTTTTTTTATTTTTGTACTTTTAATCAATTTGAACAGTAATTACTAAGAAGATTAATTTGGAAATTTTAAATAATGCAACTTTTAAGCCCTTGTATTTAGAAGAATTATCAATTTAGTCTCTCAACAAGTTTAATTTTTATTGTTTCAATTCTTAATGTTTCATAAAAAGTAGTCTTTAATTATGAGAGAAATTAATATCATTAAATTACACTGACATAACTAACGAAATGATAATAATGTGGCAGCTATATATATATATATATATATTAATAATATGGGAAACATGAATGAAAAAAAGCCACATAAACTAAATTAGGAGTTATAAAATAGTAAAATCAATAATACATCAGCAATCAGGACAAGGAAATATGGATTATGTGTATTAATTAATCCATGTGTATATTTCACATTAGCAACTTAAGTTACACGTGAACTTCTTTTTATGGCTAATTTATCTTGCAAAATTTAGAGGACTAATTTGATAAGTGAAGTAAAAGTTGGAAAGAGTGTGTCACACATTTATAAAGTTAACTTTTTAATGTTTAATATTTAAGATTGGAGAGAGTATATCACACACACACACAAGTTTTGATATCTTTTCTTCTAAAAAGATAATAGTTAGGGGTAGAGAGAGCAAAATAGGCATCAAAGTCTACACTATATAAAGCCGGCTTCAATTAAAAGGCTAATACCAATCTTATGTGAATTATAAAATGGAGGGCCATCGAAGAGCAGCCTCCTTGATCTCAATTAGACTTTCTCCTGCGAGAATTCAAATTTAAATCCTCACTGATGTTGAGAGATTTATTTATACTGCTATAACACTAATCTAAGTTAGCTTTATTTTTTTGCCAGGACAATTAATATTGTCAAACTTATAGTTAACAAAAAATAATTAAAGTTGCCAGCTTGAAAGGATCGTGATATATTATTTTTTGTTTCTTTATCTATTTTTTATGGGTCTCAAAGGATATGTAAATTTTTTTAATGCTTCCACTTAAAATT